CCTTGTGGTATGATTGAGCATTCCTTGGGTATATGCCCAAGAGTGATATAGCTGGATCTTGGTGGAGATTGATTCCCAATTTTCTAAGAAAGCACCATATTGATTTCAAAGTGCTTGTACAAGCTTGCATTCCCACCAGCAGTGGAGGAGAGTTCCCTTAGCTCCACATCCTCTCCAGCATAAGCTGTCTTCAGTGTTTTTGATCTTAGCCATTCTGACAGGTGTAAGGTGGTATCTCAGAGTCATTTTGATTTGCATTTCCCTGATGATTGAGGATGTTGAGCAATTCCTTAAATGTCTTTCAGCCATTTGAGTTTCCTCTTTTGAGAATTCTCTGTTTAGTTCTCTGTGTCTATAACCGTTTCTTGTGCCATTTATTGGGTTCTTTTTTCATTCTGTTTGTTTTGTCCAATTCTGATGTGTTAATTTTTGTTTTATACTATTATGTTATATTTTGTTATTATTCCTTATAAGTCTGTTTGTTATCTGATGAGAGACAGAAAGGGGTTGATCAGATGGGCAGGGAGGTGGAGAGGAACTGGGAGAAATAGAGGGAGGGAAAACCATAATTGGAATATATTATTTTAGAAAAAGAAATCTACTTTCAATAACAGCAAAAAAGAAAGGAAAACCTGGTATGGCTTAGAAAGAAAAGGGAGCAAGAGCAGATGGAAACAGGCACCTAACTAACCAAACATTCTCTCTGAGTAGAATCATATTTTTAAATCAAATTGTGATTTTCTCTGATATCTTCAGTCTTCTATACAACAAGAAATATTTTGTTCTTGTTATATTTTTAAAGATTTATTTTTATTTATGAAAAATATGTAAAATTAATTTGTCTATATTTAATTTTATAAAATTTTTATAGGTTTGATTGGTGACAGCCATAGCCTCAGAGTTTGCCCTCTGGGTAAACTGCCACCAGACTTGTATCATCTTTACCTGCTATAAACTCACTTTGAGTACAACAGTCTGGCATAAATGGACTGTTGGGGAAGTTGGTGCTCTGCCATGGCAGGCAGATGGTCCAGAAAGCACACCACATTAATGTTGACCTCAGAACTGTTTTTTCTTTCAGTATCTGAAGCAGACCTAACCACACACTCCTACCTCTTATCCTGATTAACTCAGTTATGAGTTTGCCTATAATCTTAGAAACTCCATGTTGGATTAGAATTAAATAGAATTTATTCTCTAGATATCTACATAGTGTATCTGTCCTTAAAGTTCAGATCACATGAACAGGTAAGCATGAGGGCTCACAATTTGTGTTGACATAGTGACATCATATTGATACCATTAATGTCTCACTGGGCCATTGAAGGAGAAAGGGTATAGAAAACAGATAGCTAATCATTTCTTTATAATGAATTGTAACAAACTAATAAAATCTAGTGGCCTGGTAATAAACTAGTTTCTTTGACCTCTCATTTATTTGGACAATGATTTAAAGAGCTAAGGTTTGCAGTCAGAATGGCATCAAAGACAGAAAAAGTGTGGTGTCACATATTGCAAATAGCTTGTTTTGTCCAAATTTACCTATTAAACTGCCAAGAGTTTTATTCTTTCTGTTGAGGTAGAGTCCTGCCTTACTCTAAATTATACCCTGTAATTTCCTTCTATACCCTTAGGGATTCTTTTCACAAAGAGGTCAAGGATGCATTACTAATTCTCATTTGTTCTTTGCAACACAGTTTAATAAAATTTACACTCTCTCCAAAACCCACCCCATCATACCCTCTCTGTTACTAGAACATTGTGGAAATCATAAACACACAGACACTCCCTTGTATTTGCCATCTCCCAGATTATGTCCATGGGCATAATCAGTCTGTATAGGGCAGTTTTTGACAGGTGAAAGAACACAACCGTTCTTGCTCATTTCTCCACTCAAGCCCCAATTAAGAGACACTTTGTTCAAATCTTAGACTATGCCAGGCACTGAATAGTCAAGGCTTTTGATCATATTAGCTGAGCCTCACAACCATTGTGCGAACCAAGCAGAGCAAGCATAATTACTTCTGTTTTGCATATAAGGAATCAGTTCCAGAAAGTATAAACAGTTCTTCCAAGGCTCCACAATAAAAACACATCCAGAGCAAAAACTTAGATTATGGCCTATAACTTTTATTGTTTTGTTCTGGTTTAGTTTTCTGATCTCTACAGAAAAAGTTTTTTGCCTATGTTTGCCTGTACACATTTAATATTCCCTTTGGACTGTACCATGATAGTTTGATTCATATGAATTATTCAGAAAATAATTTATTTTATATACTTTGGTTTAAAATATAAAGACATTCATAACCACATTTTATTGACTAAGGAAATCCATCCAGAAGCAGACATTAAATCATTTCTATATGAGCACCATTTACTTTTGCACATTTATTTCCTAAAGTGAAGTATGTGTCTGTTTCTCTTTGTTCCTTTCCTAAGTTCTGGGCTTCTCATTTGTCCACTATATTTTATTAGTTGTCTCCCACTGTAGAAGTTCATTATCTACTCAATCCCTTTGCAATTAGCTTCTGCACACCTGGCCTCTGAAGAAGTATGTTTTCCTTTGGGGGACCCAGGCACTAGAGGAAAGACCCAGAGCTCAGAACCAAGAGACCTGGGCTTTTGACCTTTGCTCTTCAATATTTTTGGGAAAATACTATTTGCTTCCTTGAATATCTGTTCTGAATGTTTGTAAAAATGAGATGATAATCCCAACTAAATATCCTTACTTTCAAAGTGTTTTTTGTACTTAGGTGAAAGTTGCAGCAGTAATGAGTATTATAATGAGTATTCTTGTTTAAAATTACTCATAAGAAAAATTAAACTCTGACCTCTAGAGCCATTATGGTGAATGTAGCTTACAGTAGAACTTATGTTGCCACTGACAAGAGTGTGAAACCGAGCATTCTGTAGAGCTAATGGAAAAGGCCTTATGTAGGATGTCAGGTAAAGAGAGCTAATTATCACTCTGTTACAAAAGGAAAATCCATGTCAATTATTAAAATTGTGTTGTTACTTGTATCTGTGTACAAGTGGTAAAAGGAAAAGCTAGAAAAGAGGGAAAGAGGATGAATTAGAAGATACTGGGTTTGGAAGACAAGGGGACTAATAAGGCTAATTGACCCACACTGAATATATTTAAGATTTATTAATCATCTACACTTATCTATCAGAGCATGTAAACAAATGTTCTGGAGGGAAATATGAACTTCAAGAAAAAGCAATGACATAAGTTGTATCAGACTTCAAGATATGATTGTATCATGGACAATCCATTCACTTGCAGAGAGTTACTACTCAAGGAATGGTACTTACATGGGTAAGTCGGTGCTAGACAAAGGTTTTGGAAGGATCTGAGGATCAGCCACCTAGCCTCTGCCACCAACACTGACACTAAGGACATAGACAATGGGATTGTTGAGGAAGCTGCTTCCTCTGCCAGTCATGTAAGTGGGGAAGCAAGGATACCACAGAATCTTTTAACCTCAGAACTGTTCAAGCTTGCAGGACTCAAAACAGGCCAAGCCACGTGATACCATACCACACCTTATTTAGCTTAATTATCTACAACCTTATAAACTCCATGTTGGATTAGAGTCAAAGAGAATTATTATTTTTAATAGATACCTACATATTTGTATGTCCTAAGAGCACAGTTCTCATGCATAAATACATACAGATGCCCAAGACTGGTGTGTACACAGTGACATCATATTAACATCTTCCATCTTGAGCTGGGGCATTGAAAGAGAAAGGAAAACAGAGAAGACAGTCTTTTCTTTCCAACCAGTCAGAACAGACTAGTCAGATCTAACAGCCTGGCAATAGATCAGTTTCTTCAGAGCTTCTTTGACCTCCCGATTCCTGAGGCAGTAAATGAAAGGATTGAGGGCTGGAGTGACAATGGCATAGAAGATGGAAATGACTTTGTTCATGTTGAAGGCGTGAATAGCTCGGGGTCGGGCGTACATGAAAATCGTGGCAGAGTAGAAGATGGTGACCACCACAAAGTGGGAAGCACAGGTGGAAAGGGCTTTCTGCTTTCCTGTTGGCATGCGTAGCACAGTGGCCAGAATGCACCCATACGATAAAGCAGTGATTGACAGTGGGAAGAGGAAGATGACCAGAGCCAAGACAAAGTCCACCAACTCGGCAATAGACATGTCTGTGCAGGAGAGATTAAGTACTGGAGAGATGTCACAGAAGAAGTGGTTGATGACATTGGGACCACAGAAGCTGAGGCGAGAGATGAAGTAGATCTTTGCCAAAGAGATGCCAAAGCCGATGACCCAGGAACCAAGAGCCAGGCGGAAACAGAGCCCATGGCTCATGATGGTGGGGTAGTGCAGTGGGCGGCAGATGGCCACATAACGGTCATAGGCCATGGCAGCCAGGAGAACACATTCCGTACACATAAGTGCAATGAAGAAGTAAAGCTGTATCATACAGTGGGTGAAGGAGATGCTGTTACTTATGGACCAGAAGCTGAACAGCAGCTTGGGCACAGTCACAGAGATGTACCAGGTCTCCAAAAAAGACAGGTTGGCCAGGAAGAAGTACATAGGCTTGTGCAGTGGCCGGTTCTGCTGCACCAGTAGGATGATGATTACATTTTCAGCTACGGTCAGAATATAGGCCACAAGAAACATCAGGAACACGGCTGCTCGCATGCTCAAACTCCCAGGAAATCCTACCAGGATGAACTCGGTGACCCGTGTCTGGTTCTCCAAATCCATATCAAACACACCGGATTTAGCTCTTCTGAGAGAAAAGAATCACTTGATCAGAGTCTATGGTCTGGTAAACATCTTTTATCCCTGCCTTCTTTGAGAACCAATAGCAGTAACAGTTGCTTGTTAACAGCATATTATAAATTAGGTAGATGCATGTAGCATAATTAGCACACTCAATTTCCCACATAGCATCTTTAACCATACCCTATTACATCCATTTTAACGATATGGTATTAGAGAGATATTAAATACATTTCTATGTTCTTACTGACAGGAGAGAAAGAATTGTATTCAAGTCTAAGCTAAAGCCATCTATCTACTACCCTACACTGCCTCCACAAATACTTCCAAAGCAAACGAGCAAAGCTTGTGTTACAGCGGCTGATTTCAAAAAGCACACTCACCTTCCTGTGTTGTCGTCTGCTTATAGTTCTGAAAGTTCTTCCTCGCAGCTGGGAGACATTGACATGTCACCTGTGTCTTTTTTCTTCTACCATTAGTGGAGATGGAAAGGGCCTGTCACAATCTGAGTTGTATTAGATCAAGAGGCACGGGGAGAAGTCAAGCTCATCCCTGTCAAATCCCTGGATTTCATTCGACTTCCAAGTCTTCCATGGAGTTGCTATGTCCTTGAAATCATGCCCTCTTTGAGACCCATTTTTCCTCTCTTACTTAATACAAATATTAATATGTGTTCAATGGATGTCACTGTGGATTAAAATGAAGTTGGAATCAAGAAAATAGTGTTTTATATAAACTTAATGATAATGAGTATGAAATGGGCTCTTGTTCCATATTAAAACAGTAAAGATGAATCTAGATCAGTACAGGGGAGGTGCAACTCCTGTCATCCAAGGAAGCGATGAGAAACAGAAATGTGGGGCCCTGGTCAGTGAGCTTTTAGCTTCTGAGGATAAAGACAGTTTTTTTTGGGGGGGGGGTTTGCAATTACTAAGCTAAAGTAGAAATATATCATAAAATTTTAGATATTTTTAATGAAGATTAAGAGCCAGAGAGTAACACCGTATAATCTGGAATGCAATGTACCTCTGACCTCTGAGGAGGTGACATTGGATCAGAGGATTCCAGGGCCAGCTCTTTGAGGGCGTTAGGTGAGGGAGACCCAAGCTAAAATGAGACCCCTATTGCTACACTGTGGCTGATAGAAAAGGAGCCAGGAAGTGGTGAGAAGGTAGGTGAGACTGTGTAGACAAGACCCCAAGGCTCAGAAAAGGATCTACATGGTGGCCTAAATGCAATGTGAGGCAAGCAGAAGGGTAAAGGGCCTGGCATTATTGTGTCCTGGAAAAATGACTGTCATTTCCCAGTCGGCTTCCTGGAGCGAGGAGTGGGGGTGGGGGTGGTGGCCCAGGCGTTGAGGGAAGGTGCCGTGACCTCCAGGACTGCTTTGACAAAAACAAGTTTAAGGTCCATCTGAGAGGGAGGATCTTTAACAGAACTGAGTGGACTTGGGTGTGGAAGTTTAGGGGGGAAAGATCAAGGAGAAATCACAGACAGCTGAAACAGAGATGTGTTGCCATTTACTAACAGAGAAATTGTGGGGTTTTCATGGGCATTTCCCCTATAGTCAGAGACAAAAATGGATGAAAACTTGCCATATTTGGTGAGCATCAATGCTCCACTTCATCCTCTAAGAAGAAATCAGAGAGCATTCACTAGGTACCAGGTACTTACTACTGTTCATAAAGTGCAGCATTTAATTCATAAAATAACATTAATGAGATACAGTTACTCTAATTTCCCAGAAGAGGCATTTGGTCTCATCACTACTTTTAAACACTTAGAATTTGTGATTCTTTTAGTAAATGTTCTCCAGTCCTGCTGCAATTTCATTATAAGCACAGGCTATTGGGACAGCAATGAACATATGACAGAAGAATATTTTTTACCCAAAACACGCACAGCAGAAAGGAACATACAAGGATGCTTGTCATGTGTGCCAGAGATAAGATAAGCACTGAATATATCCTGAGATATATCAGGGAGAAGCTGGGGCCTTGCAGGCAAATGATTCAGAAAAAAAAAGTCAGAGAGGTCAGAACCACACAGCACAACAGCTCATTGGTCGTGTGTTTGACAAATGGAGAGTGATTGAACTGAAGAGTGATGCATGGCAGGAAGGAAAAGGGAGACTTGTCAGGGGCCAGATCGTGGGGAGCTCCATCCACAGTAGTAAGGAGCTGAAGAGCCATCCTGAAGCAAGAACAGTAAATGATGACTGGATATTTGTCAGGAGGATGGTAATATCCTTATATTTCACCCTGGCTGTTGATATGAGAAGATATATTGGGCAGAACAAGGTTATCAAATGAGAAGTTGATGGGCAAGCTGGAAGTCACCCTCATAGCAAACACTTACAACACAAACAAGGAAGAGCAAGATCACTAGCTGGTGACTGATTGTTAAAGAAACTGAGATGAACACATTCAACTCTATCTACATAAGCAATATCAAGATCTATCTATTTACATAAGAAAGAACAAGGAGTCTGCAGCATAGCAAGACTGGGGAGCATGAAGAATCTAAGGATAGTGGCCATACTTTGGGATACTTATTATGACCCAACACCAGGAAATATTTCTCAAAAAGCAATCATAGAAGTCTATTCCCTTGATTTATTGTGTAATTCTCCACACAGAGGTTTCAGAAAATGAGAATAAAATTGTGTTCAATTGCTGGAATTATAATGGATAAAAAGGAAAGACATAAAACATGTAGGGCTTAAACATCACTGTATCTAACAGTTGCACATTTATTATGGATGCTGCAAAAGAGATCACTTACCTTAACTTAGCAGCCTCTGATGGGGTAGAATGTGAAAAGAAATTCTTCACTGATTCTAAAATAGGAAGAAGTACAAAGGAAAGATTCAGATATTGAATAGATATGAGGAACCCACTCCCTAAACTCAGAAGAACACAATGGGCACCGATTACCCCACTGATTTCCAGCAGATGGCCAGGACTATATGAGAGTATATCCCTAGATACTAAGACCACATTTGTGTCCAGTGTGGCACCAGGCTGGATTTTCCAGCATTGTGGGGCCAGAGATCCCATTGCCTTCTGGCAAAAGCTGTCCTAGACTAGGGCACATCAAGCTGTGAATGTCTTTGTTCTTCTGAGAAATTTATACAGCATCAAGATTTTCTTGGCATCTCTCCCAGGACCCAAGAGGAAAGAACATTGACAACAGCTGTCCAAGTCTCTTGTGGTATCCAAGGAAGGCTGTGTGTACTGTGGCCATCTCATTTGTTTCATGTAATACTGGTTCCATTGGAGGAAAATCACTCATGGCCACATACTTTAGAAAGAGCCATGTTTTAGTCTTTGTCAAAAGAGTAAGAGGAAAGAGAGCATTGAATTTAAAAATCTACTTTGAGATAATTCGATTAGTATTATCTTGGCTTTTCGGAAACAGAATGACCATATCAGTTCTCCAAGGGAGACCATGACTGCTGAACTAGACTGGTGTTGTGACACCTTAGTAGGAGTTTAAATGGAAGTCTTTGTCATCAAGTATGTCATAAAGTATGCTAAGTGAAGTTATTATAATGGGTGAATGTCGCTATCATCTGCAGGGTATCACTTGACTAATATTTCCATCCTGAGACAGAGTCAGCACATATCATTTCTCTGTGTGTGCAGAACTTGCAAGCAGCCTTCGCAGCAAAGAAAGCTAAGAGATTCACTGTGGTTTCATAAAACAGTAAGTGGAAACATTGAAAGTCATAAACAGTCCATGCTGAGGAGCCACTCACATTTATGGCAATTAGGAAACCTGCTTCACATCTAGATTGTTTCAGAGGACTGAAACATAGAAAACAAATGATAAAATAGTGAAAAAATAAGGTCCTCAATTTGCCTCCAAGTTCCAGAAACACTCTGATATCACTTAAAATGTATCATTTAATCACGATTTTCCATCATGGATTTAAACTCTTATTGTAGTGATTATAAATGGAAAATGATAGAATTTCTACCAAATCATGGTTGCTTTTGCTGCATGAGCAGAATGCTTGGCAGAGCACACTTATTATCCAGAGTAAGGAAATCCCCTCCCTATTGTAGCAAGAGCCCATGAATTGCCATGACAACGAACAATTCTTGAAGCAAAAATTTCATACAAATAGTCTTAAATGGATATGAGAAATTTGGCAGATACAACTGGGTACATTTGGTGGCACCCTGACATGCTGTCATCAAGAGCTTTAATAAGCTTTTTGTGTACACCCTAGTGGCTCCAGGTTGGTAGTCCCTGACCCAGGAAATACAGGATACATCAGCTTCTAAGGTCCTTGGATGTTTTCCATTTTGCAGAACCTTCTCTTGCTGTTGCATTGTGACCAGGGTCTCTTTATTTTCCAACTATATGAGTACACTATAGTTTATTTGTTGACAAACTGGTAGACTTGTGTTCCTTTTGGGACATGTTTCCAAGACTTAGGCCACTTGCAAGTGTGCTTTAGGTTTCTCTTGCTATTGAACACAGCCTGAAGGTTACCTGGAGGTGAACTCTTTAGATCCCTTTGGGCATATGTACAACTTTCTGAGGTACACACCAAGGTTTGTTCATGAATTTGCATGTCATCTTTATGAAGGGGCCAGCCTAATCATCTCTGTATTGTTCCAATTTCAGTATATGTGCTGCCAAAGCAAGCACCACACTGTTTTCATAATCCCCAATTCCCTAATATATCTTCTTTCCCAACCATCTCCTTCTGAATTTTTTTTATATGTCCATTGTTTATCCCAACCTTCATTCATAGACAGAAGCTGCTACAACTGTTCCCTTTAAGTGCTCCCAGTCAGCCTGGCCAGGTGGTCCAGGCCTGTACTCTCAGCTAGTCAGCAGACAGCGTGTAGAGAACAAGTCAAAGATTCACCTAGGCAATTTAGTGAGACCCTGTCTCAAAACAAAAACTAAATAGGAGGCCAGGGATATAGCTCAGTGGAGATGTGCCTAGTGTATGCAGAGCTCTGGATTCAAGCCCTCCCTATCCCTGACCCCACCCCACGTACTGCACTCGGTAAGCTTTATCTGAAAAGCTACCCTAGTCTTGGAAATGCTTCCAGTCATTGAAAACAGAGGGAATTCCTTGCAAGACCTTTCAGTACCTTCTAGATAAATTGAGGATGTTGGCAAAATTTCTTTGAGAATATTGTTCACATTTGTCTTTCTCCTAGTTAAATCCTGTACCAGACGTAAGAACCATCATCTTGATGTTTGCCCAGTATGAGAAGTCAGGCAAATTAAATGACCCAACTCTCTCACTACAAGACAGTGGCTTCTACCTTCAGGAATCTTTCCCCTGAGTGTTGAAAAGGTTTTTTTCTTCATAATTGGACAAAAGTTGATTCTGACAAGTTTTGACATCCAATGAGTTATTTCTGTAGTGAGTCAGAATCTCCCACACCACTGGTGTAGGTGATCTTAATATGCACATACATACACAGCACATATTGTTCTTGAAACTTTCAAAATTCCCAATCTCACTTTTTAGTTCTAGGCACTCTACTGTGAGATTTTGTCATTGACTATTTTTAAATAATTTTCTTTATTTCTGATTTACATGATTTTTTTTCACTTTTCCTGTCCTTAACACTTTGCCTATGACTTTTATTTAAGACTAAATGATGAACTTGTTTTCAATCTTAGATATCAGTCAAGTCTTTCATTCTTTAAAGATGTTACATGTTAATAAACCCAGTTAATTCCTGCACCCCAGGCCATTTGTATCACCTGCCTCATGATGGATCACTTCCACTGGACTCTAATTAATTTTTAAATTAAAACATTTCACTCCCCCTTTCTATTTTCTCCTTCTAGCCCACCCCAAATGTCTCCTCCTTCCAACACTGCCTATACCCACCAACTCCCTGTCAAGCTTAAGGTTTAGTGTCTGCCATTCAAGATTTATTGGGAATATTTAATGAATGTGTATAAGTAGGCAATCATGTCTTTGATCTCTGAAGACATGAAAGTCACAGAAAGGAGACGGTCATTGACTGAAACACAGTTCATACTTCCGTCTTTAAAAGTAGGAGGTCAGTGTGGAAGAGTAGCTAGAATGCATCAGAAATGCTGTTCCCAGGAAAAAATGGGTGAGTGGTAGTCTCTCCAATCACAGAAAAGGCAGGGCCAAAGATTGGTTTCACAGATTCACTGACTTCCATTATTTGCTCCTAAGTAAGCCACTGGCTGCAATCAGTCACAAGCCCATCAGTCTTTTAAGATGGTTTTAAAGGACTGGGGCCCAGGAGGATGCTATCCATGCTGTTGAGTTTTGTTTGGTTGAGTCTTTTTGGAGCAATCATGTTGCTAACAACTGAAACTATCCTTATCTTTAAAAATCAGTAACAATTCTGTGTTGAACCCATCTTGTCCTGTTTTTTTTTTTTTTTTTTTTTTTTGGTTGGGAGACTTTTAATGGCTGTTTCTATTTCCTTAGGGGTTATTGGTCTTTTTAAGTAGTTTATCTGGTCTTGATTTAACTTAGGTATGTGGTACCTATCCAGAAAATTATCCATCTCTTTTAGATTTTCCAGTTTTGTGGAGTACAGGTTTTTGAAGTATGACCTAAAAAAATCAGTAACAAGAAGAAACAAAAATGCATCCTATAGATTATCCTATAGATAATCCTATAGATTATTTTCTCAAAGTAGACAAAAAAAACTTCCTTGAGCTTTTGTTATGCCCTCTTCAATGACATTTTATTGTCAGTTTTTCATTATTATGATGAAATATTGTGTTAATCAACAGGAAGGCTCATTTTGGCTTGTGGTATGAGTCCATGGACACTTTGGGCTCATGGCAGCACAGCCCATCATAGTGGAAGCATGTAGCAAAACAGGCCTGTTCCTCACATGTCAACAATGAAGCAAAAGAACAGGAAGGGGTCAGTGTCCCAATTCCCTGATTCTAATTTGCTTTCTGTGGTGATAATCACCAAGATCAAAAGCAAGTTGGGAATGGAAAGGTTTATTTTATCTTCCATGCTGCAATGCCCTTTTATTGTTTACCCAAAGGTGACCCTACTTCAATCTCAGTCGGTATTTTCTAAAGTTTTATTACCTAAGAAGTGTTATTGCCTCTCAATAGGATCAAGGAAAGCCCCACATCTTTAGCACATAAGCCTTTAGGAAACATTCAAGATACAAATGATTGATAACTTCTAGTAGCATCACACAAAAACATGAAAATATGTTGGTGGCAAACAGGAATTCATTTACAGTTCAGTAAAAGGAATTACAGTTAGTAAACTATAGGAAAGGTCTTCTTCAGACCAAATATACATTTGGAATGCCCTGTAGACATTCATTCATATGAGAATGTCCACAAAAGAAGTCCTAGACATAGAAAATTGGCCACAAATCCAACAGCTGTATTTGTTTTGCAGAAATCAACATGTAATTAGCCTATTGAAGAAAAACTGTGAAGTTAAATGCATCATCATATGACAATATTTACAGAAAGAGATATATTATAAAGCACAGACCCCAGAAATCTACATCTAATGTCTGATTCACTTTGTCAGTATTGTGGACTGCTTTCTGAACTTTTTTTTTTCTGATCTATAGAAAAATTTATTTATTTATTTATTTATTTTACAACACCATTCAGTTCCACATAATAGCCACA